GGAAGTAGTATTCTGTCAGAATGTCACAGGAAATCTAAGTTTTATGCCAAGTGGTGAACTGTAAAGAAAAGAAATGATAATATTGTCTGGTTGGCTGTGATCACATGATTTGAGCTTGTATTGGACTTTTATGATACTTATAAATCATAATCCATGAGGAGTTATTATCTACCTTTTCTTGCATTAACAGATACTAGCTATCCGGTTTCTCGTGCATAATATTGCTTTCCTGCTCAATGTATGTATGATTGTGCATGGAAATTTTAGCTGACCACATTTTCTTCATATTAGCAGGGTGCTAAAGAGGGATTCTGCTGTTTTTGTTCGTCGTTCTGATCATAATTGTGTCTCTAGCATGGCTCACACTGATACTGCTTGTCCAAAGCCGATGCAGGCAACCTCCACGGGAGTCTTCCAAGGAGAGAACCCTCTTGATTATTCCCTCCCCCTTGTTATCTTACAAATAATCATTGTTATTGTCTTCACTCGTACCCTGGCCTTCTTGCTTAGACCTCTAAGGCAGCCTCGTGTGATTGCTGAGATTATTGTAAGTACTGCTATTTTTGGCAATTGAAACCTTGCAGGAAATTAAATAACTATAAAGTATGTGGAAATTGAATAGTTTAGCAATGCTTCTTGATTTTTGTTTTGAATCATGTAAGATGTTAGAAGGGAAATATATTTTATGAGACGATCTCACAATAACTTAATGTGAAAATATATTCACTTTTATCAGGTCTGTTTTGTTTGTGCTAGGCAACTTACCTGATATTGGCACCTGAGAATCTTATGTCGTGGTTGGTCATTCAAAACTCAATTCATGAGCTAAACAAGAGGTTAAATAATGGAAAATCAGTTGCTTTTATATAAGTCACGGCCAATATTGATTCCTTAAAAGCATTGTGTCGATGTTAGTGCTATTTATTTTTGTTATATTGTGATGCCATGAATTGTTTTCCTAAGACTCCTTTAAGCACGACTGCATGAGCACTATTTTAATCTTAGCATTCAGTACTCAGAAGTATTGCACAGGAACTTGGGGAAAGTAGAAAGCACGAACTCTACTAACTAAAAGTTGAACACGTAATGAAGGACTAGAGCTATGGCAAGCGTGCAATAGCTGTATGAAACAATTACTAGATTAACAGAGCAAATGTAAGATTACTCGCAGAAATTAGGTTTCTAGACTTTAAAGGTATTGCTTTATACCAGAAAATACCAATGATTCAGTACCAGGAAGCTTAGTTTAAACTTTAATGTGCTAGTGTTTTGCATAATGATTGTGAAAAAAGACTGAAGGTGTACAAAAAGATGTTTTGCCTAAATTAGGTGACTGATACTGTACAACTGATAATCAATAAATAAATTATTTTCACACAAAGAATACTTTTTTTTTTTGGATTATGTTATTGTAACAACACTTCTACTGCATCATCCTACCTTTTTAATTCTTTTTGGATATGCAATTGCACCCTAAACCTTCAAATGATGGGTCTGAATTCTTAACTGTTTCATTATTTCTGAACTGTTTCACTTTGGAAGTTTGTAGGTGAAGTTGTGATGCATGATAGTGCAGATATAGAGGGATAATACTTCTGATGTACAGTTTGTATATCTATATAAAAAAATGGTTGATAAATTCCTAAGGCCATTGAAACAGAGTGACTAGAATTGGGCTTAATAAGCTTGTATTTTTATGTATTTGAAGTTGCAGAATTTAACCGATCAAAACTGATATTAACTGATTAGAATTGGGCTTAAATGGAGGATTTTTAATGTCCTATACTCTTCAGCTGAAAGTGAGACTTCAATATTATGTTTCACTTGTCTTTAACAGGGAGGAGTGCTACTAGGCCCATCTGCTTTTGGTCGTAGCGAGGCGTTCCTGCATACCATATTCCCTCCCAAGAGTCTGCCAGTATTGGACACGCTTGCAAATATCGGCCTCATCTTCTTTCTGTTCCTCGTAGGCTTAGAATTGGATCCGAAAGCATTACGCAGGACAGGGAAGAAATCCATGTGCATTGCTGTTGCGGGCATTTGTTTGCCCTTTGCTTTGGGAATTGGTACATCACTTGTCCTCAGGGAAACTATTTCAAAAGGTGTTAGCCTAGGTCCTTTTATAGTATTCATGGGGGTTGCCTTCTCAATCACTGCCCTTCCCGTATTAGCCCGTATCTTAGCTACTTACCACTGATGTGGGTCGTACAGCCATGTCAGCAGCTGCAGTCAATGACGTGGCAGCCTGGATTCTTCTTGCTATAGCCATAGCTCTCTCTGGCACTGGAAAATCTCCTCTCATTTCCCTATGGGTATTTTTGTGTGGTGCAGCTTTTGTTGGCATGTGTATTCTTATAGTCCCTCGTGCATTTAACTGGTTGACCAGGCATTGCCCTGATGGTGAGCCTGTGAATGAAATTTTCATTTGCGGTACCTTAGCCGCAGTTTTGGCAGCTGGATTTGTGACCGACACTATAGGAATCCATGCACTTTTTGGGGCTTTTATTCTTGGTACTCTAGCCCCAAAGGATGGGCCGTTAGCCAGTGCCATGGTAGAAAAGGTGGAGGATCTTATATCTAGTCTCCTCCTTCCTTTGTACTTTGCTTCGAGTGGCCTTAAAACAAATGATAAAATAAAGTATTGTTGATAGGAGAGAGAAATAATAAAATATTGTTGATAGGAGAGAGAAATAATAAAATATATATATATAAAATATGATAAAAAAGGATTAGTGGGAGAGAGAAAATATAAAATAATGGTAAGTCCCTTTCCAAATATAGAAGTGTTGCAATTAATATGAAACGGATGTAAAAGGAACGTGTTGCGATTAATATGAAACAGAGAGAGTAGTTTCAATACTTGTTTTTCTTCTTGGAAGCGCTTTATCTAACTTTTGGTTGATAACTATAGGTGCTAAATGATCAAACTTTTTCAATAATGGTAATGATGGCCCTAGTCACCACATTCATGACAACACCAATTGTGAGGGCAGTGTATACACCAGCTAAGAGAGGAAGCACATATAATCTAAGGACAATCCAAAGAAAAGATCCCAAATCTCAACTCCGAATCATGGCATGCTTCCATAGCGGAAGGAATATCCCTACTATGATAAACCTAATTGAAGCTTCCCGGGGAACAGAGAAAAGGAAAGGGCTCACGGTCTACGCAGTGCATCTCATGGAGCTCTCTGAGAGGCCTTCTGCAATACGGATGGTTAATAAAGCCCGAAATAATGGGCTTCCCTTTTGGAATAAGGGGATGCAGCCAAATTCGGATCAAGTTTTGGTGGCCTTTGAGGCATATGGGCAGCTCAGTCGGGTGCAAATCAGGCCTATGACGGCAATATCTCACTTCTTTAACATGCATGAAGATATATGTGCTAGTGCAGAGAGCAAGAAGGCTGCCCTCATTATCCTTCCTTTCCACAAGCACCAGAAGGTTGATGGTTCATTGGAAACCACTAGGCATGAATATAGAGTAATCAACAAAAAGGTCCTTCAAAATGCTCCTTGCTCAGTTGGTATCCTAGTTGATCGAGGGCTTGGTGGGTCCTCACATGTGTCAGCCAGCGACGTCGACTCTATCGTCACTGTTTATTTCTTTGGTGGGCCTGATGATCGTGAGGCATTGGCCCTTGGTCAACGGATGTCTGAGCACCCGGGTATCACCCTTATAGTGGTGCATTTAAGAGCAGATCCCGACATGGAAGGAGCTGAAAGAGTAGCTATTGATGTGAGTGATAGTAGTAGTAACAATGGAGAATCCAAGGAAGCTGATGAGAAGGCCATTGATACTATTAAGCAAAAAGTGTCCGAGGACGGGTCAGTTAAGTTCAAGGAAACAATAGTGAAAGCAACTTCTGATACTGTAAATATAATTAAGGAATTCAGCAGTTGTAATATGGTCTTAGTGGGACGATCACCAGAAGGTATGGTGGCTGCTGCTTTCGAACTTAATATAAAGATTGAATACCCTGAAATAGGCCCAGTTGGGGGTTTGTTGGTTTCTCAAGAGATCTCGACAAATGCTTCTGTATTAGTGTTTCATCAGTACACTGGTGGTACAAGGCCAGTATCCATAGAAGAGGAAGGGCCAACTGATGGGGCTGAAACTGATTAAATGAAATTAGTCTGAAAATGTCCTTAAGAACAAATTAAATTGTACTATGTATTTCCTTTTACAGATGATACATAAAAGTAGATATATAGGTAGATACATAAGCTTGATCAGAGGCTTTGGAAATTCTGTTTTCCAGAGTATGTATGTGGTTTTTAGTTTTTTCAAAGTTGTTGAAATGGCTTCTATGAAATCTCAAGACATCTGTTTACAATAATTGGACAAGTCACTGACCTGAAGTGACGCTTGGGCTTTTCACAAGTTGTAGCAGTGTATAAGTAGCAAAGAATTGTATCGATGACTTTGGTAGCATTACATTTCTTTTGCATGCCTAACCTCTATGGAGTTTTTAGATTTTATAATTCTCACAATGACAGTTAAATGATGTGTTTGGCAATTTGATTTTCTTCCATTTAATTGTTGTGCATATGAAATTTTGTTTTTATAGATTGGTATTTTCAATTTTGTGGATTTCTAGTATAAAGTTTTCAGACAAGTATGAAGAAGGGAAGGGATACAAGGTTTGGGAATCGACTGACTTGATATGAAAATTGAGGTATCCTATGTATGACACCTATTTACACCAGAATTGTTTGCTTCTCTCTAATTTCACTTTTAACTGCACTTCTCAAGTTGCAGTGTAAAGTTTGGTTGTCACTATGATAAAATAAGCTATGTTCTGGTGAACCTTCTTTATGGAGTGTTTGATATTGATATGTTTCCTGCTTGTGTTTGGTGCTCTACTTGAAAAATCATCAATTTGCTACTGCTATGATTTCTCCGTGTTTCTTTACAAACTTATGACTTGAGCTTGATGTGATTTTATGCTACTGAATATAATAAAGCCTATTATCTAAATCGACAGAGCATTATGATTTTATAAATTAGCTTAGGGGATTTAATCCAATCCTACATTGGCTATTTATGGTTCTGTTACAGAATTCACTCAATTGAGTAACTAAGTCTCTAGAAACACCTACACAACATCAACATGCCATGCAAGCAAGAGCAGCAGCAGCAGACAATTTTCTAAGGGAATTTCAACAGCAGGCATGCTACTACTACTAAACACAGAGACACCAAACCAAAGACAAAAAAATGCGGTAAGTCATATGCTAACAAGAAATCAGAAACAGGAACAGGAACTTCTTCGTACCCGGCAGCTCTATCAGCCTTCTGTTACCTAGCTGCTTGCTTCCATCTTTGTGAATAAAATAGGCATGAGGTTGATAACATCGTTAGCATTCAAAAAGCATGCCACTGCTAGTGTAGCAAAGGAAATAACAGGCAGTTACATACTACAAAATGTATGCAAAGTTAAAACAATCAATTCTTGGCATTATATTTTATATAACAGAGATATACATATCTACATAACTTTTCCAATATCATAGCCTATGTAGGATTTGAACCTACATCCTCCGTGCAAGAGCACAGCGCTCAACCCATTGAGATAATACGCTTTGAAGGAGTCAATTACATAGGGTGCTCCCACGAGGAAGCTCACATATTGGAAAAGACAAGACTGGTGCTTGTAAATATGGCAATTTCCTGACTCTGAAATAATAGAAATTGACACTTTGAAAGGACATCACCTTCCTAATATTTCTGGGTAAATTTCTTAACCAGTGCAGTACAACCCTGCAAAACATGGACACCATAAGTCCATAATAACAATAGGTTGGTAAAAATTACTTTTACAACATTATCCTGCCAACTAACCAAATAGCTTCGCTCATTTTCAAAGCCATTAAACTTTCAAATAAGAAATTTATAACCAATGCAATACAATTTCACATTACATGGACAACACAAGAGCAATAATAGTATGTAGTTTTCAGCCATATTATAAACACCTACTCAGTAAGCTACAGTTCGAGAACAATATAATTATGGCACAATTTGTGTTACTTGTGGATACATTGCATAAGCATTTGTAAAATTAATATCACATACAATCACCAATCTTATCTTGATCTTCGACATCTAAAACCAACTCTTTCTTCTACCCCTCAATCCCAACCATCCAAAATGTCACATATTGACATATTAATTTTGTATACAATGCATAACCATTTGCAAAATTAAAACCCTGTGTAATCGCCAATCTTATCTCGATCATCACCATCTAAAACCGATGCTTTCTTAGTTCTACCCCTCAATCCCTACCCCCAAAAATATCAAACAGTCATCAATTGCACTAAAATCTGCTAGTAGTAAGACCTCAAAAATACTTTTTATAGTTAAGACTAACAAACATACGACGTATTCAAATGAAGGATTCGCCGGCTAAAATCCGTATCAATGACCGTGTTAATTCGCTTAACTTCCCCAATTCCTCAAGTTTCCTTGTCAAACTTCAATTTAGTTTTGAACATTGATTTCATAATCAATTTTAAAATCACTAAATTAGACATTGTTTCGAAAGTTAGAAGATTGCTATCATAATCTCAATGCTGAACCCTAATTTTTGTATCATTCATAATTCCTCCATCCAAAATTTAGAAATCAATTCTATGGATACAGATTACAACAATCATGATTATCAAAATCTTAATTCACAAAAATAACAACAAAATCGTTCTCTTCGTTGATTTTAACGATTATAAATCGAAAATTCTTAATCATAATTAACATGATAAATCACCAAATTTACAGTAAAATTCCAATGAAGATAATAAGGAAAGAATTGGTGAAAACCTGGAATTGACAGCAGCGAGAAGCTGAAAGCGCACCAAATCGATCGCCTTGCCTATAGCAACTCCTTCAAGTGCGTGTAGGGCGGCACTTGCAAGTTGCAATATGCTCTTTCTGTCTCTTTTTATTTGCCCCATATTCTTTTTTATTACAGTACCAGATTATTCTCATGCGATGCAAGATTTTAACAAAAGAAATTATAGTGTAGAACTCGTATATACAATGAATCTTTCAATTTTGTCATAAATTCATTAGAAGGAATACAGTTGTTATTCAATTTACTTTACTCTAATTTTGCTAGATTAAAGTTGTTGAAAGAATTTACTTAGCTTGTTTACGAAGCATCACACTCAAAAAAAAAGAAAAAAAAAATCCTTTCAAAAAAAAAAATATCCAAAAAATGGCATCATCAATGGTTTTAGCGGGAAAATTTTTATTATAAAAAAATAATACATATATTGTTTTGAGGAGAGATGATGTAAGCAATATTTTATTTTAGTAATAGTTAATAGATATTTCTTTAACATTAATCGATTATTTTATTTACTAGTATTCCGTAGTAAATTTACCACTCCATTTGTAACCTCACACCACCGTATATAATTTTGTTTGGGATTCATAAAAAGTTAAGGATTAAGATTTGCTCGCAATTAAAAAAAATGGAAGGAGTACTACTTTGACTCATAAGCAAATAAACTTTTTTACTTGGTCCGTTCTCTTTTTCATGTGTGTGCACAATTTTGTCCATCATTAATAAAGTGACGGTTAAAACTTAAAAGTGATAGGTATAATACAGTTTCAATCTATAAGAAGGGACGAAGAAAATACATGAAATTCGATACAAAATTGTAGGCTCTTTGAAGTTTGGACCTAAAACTTACTCAGTAACATCAACTTAAAGTGCATATACATGACTTGAACGGTTGAACATGCAATACTAACCCAAAAATTATTAAGGCTAATTTTTATTGGTAAGAGCATAAACAATGATAAGGATATACAGTACAAATTCTTAAATGGACCTGGTTCACACAAATTTATTGTGGATCACTAATATTAGAGATATTATGATTGTTTTATTAATAAAAAAAATCACTACATTAAAATAAAGGTTATTATGTTGAAATAAAAGCGATTGTGACATTATAAAAGCTATAAGAGGTTAATTTTTTGGAATGTAAATAGAAATAACATTAAAGGTCACACAAGTTTTAATAAAGGTTATTATGTTCAAAAATGAGGATACTATGTTAAAATTACGGTCAATATGTTCCAAATAACGTTAGTTCTGCGTGTATATAAATCTCAGGTCCACAATAATATTATTGTGGACCAGGTCCACGCAAGAATTTCTGAGATATAAAAATCCTTTCCCATTTTCTCTCTCCTTTCCTCCACTTGACACATCACACTCTCTTTCCTCCACATCATTTCCCACTATCTCCATTCTTTTACTCATCCTCTTTCTTAAATATTTCCCACATCAATGAGTATCATTTCTCAAGTTTCTCTCCTATTTACACATACCCTATCATATTTTTCCTCCCCTATTAACACACTTAATTATTATTAAAGTATGTAAAGATGTTAATTATTATTGTTGTTGTTGTTGTTGTTAAATGAGCATAAAGCACGTTAACTAATATTTTATCACATTAACACGTTAATATAAAAATTTAGTAAAAAGATGAAATACATGAATTAAATCACATGAATTAAAAACATGAAATACATGGATGAAAATAAGCAATGAAAATAACATACATAATTAAAAATTATTGAAATGCTAATTTTCAACCAAGCTCCTAGACCTTGCCCATAAATGCTAAATGGAGTTGCATTGCTACCACCAAAACCTCCCGGTGATTGGTCCATGTTCTGAGTGAAATGTTCAAAAATAGGAAAAACCGACATATTACTAAGAGGTTGTTGAGATGATGAGCTACTTTGAGGAAAAGGGAAAGAAGGTTGAAATTAGGGAATATTATTGACATTTATTGGTCTTGATTGACTATTATATACCATTGTAAAACAACTTGAAACTGAGGATTACTTAATAGATTTGGATCAAAAGAAGGATTATTTTGATTATATTGAAAGTTTGGATTATTTTGAAAATTCATGTTACTCCCATAATTTGAATTATTATGATCCAAATTGAAGAATATTTGAAATTGGAAGTGAAATGGAGAAAAAAAAAATTGTGTTAGATGCGTGGGGCAGAGGGCTCGTAGTACCCCCTTTTCCTTTTCTTCGCTTCGGTTTTTTTTCCGCAAATTTGAGATTAATGGGAAAAAATGCAAAAAATGAAAGTGTGTGAAAATATGGAAAAACTATACTCATTTTATAGAGAAAAAAATTTTATGCCGTTGGTGTTTTTTGTTTTTTTAAACAAGTTACCATTTACAAATTATAGTCGTTTTACATTTTTTTTAATCACAAAAAAGATTCCACCATTTAAATAAAGACAAGTGTCACCATTTTAAATCCATTTGATCGTTGCATTTTGGGACTTCTCTACTTCACGCTACTTTTTCCTCTTTTTTCTGTTTTTTTTCCTTCCTGTTTTGGCTCGTGGGACGAGGAAGCTACTCCTTTCCATCAAAAGGATTGGGTACTATCCTTCCATTAAAAGGATCCTTTTAGCAATTTGCACATTCATGAGGAAGCTAAAAAGGAAACATAAGGAGAGCTAAAAAGATTTACATCCTGGGGCTCTAAGTATTAAGGCTAATTTTGATTTTAAGATATTGCTAATTGAATCAACTCTAATAGATCCAAACTAAAACGAATTATTGATCACTAGAACATGCCCCTAACTACCTCAAATTCGAACATGTAAAGTAGACACTTCAAATAAACGTACTATCAAACCATATTGCATCCAATTAAAGTGCACTATTTCACTCGTTATTCTGCTCCATTTTCAAAATTCAAATGGCCTTAGCTTGATCATACACAATTACTCAATTAGGGAGAAACTTGCCATTACACGCCCAAAAAAAAAAAAAAGCAGAAAAAGAAACACAAAGGTGGGTGGTATAATTTTTGCAACCCCCACTTCACGTGAAAATGTTGTTGCATCCTAACAAATCTTACCAACATTCATAGAGGTTAATTTCAGTACGAAGTCGAAAGTAGACATCGCCTTCGAAAGCATCAGTCATCAAGGTAGCAACACCCCTAGCCATGAAGAAATCACCCGTTCCTCCTATAACAGAAATGTCCCTAGTCTTATTCATCAAAGGATCAGCCCCTGCAAAGTTTAATGACCCCTTATGCTCGGTCGAGTTGAACACGAATGAGAACCCTAACCAAGATGTAAACACGTCCTTCCTGTCGTACAAGTAAAACCCTTGGGCGCGGCCTACTGGGGTGGAGTAAAAATCATTTGTAAGTGTTATGGGATCGTCGAAAACTACTACATCTCCAAAATGGCTTTGCCCTGCTGCAATGGTTGTGTTAGCCCAAGCGGGCGCTCCTACGATGGCTGAAGTGGCGTTTTTGGCATTCTTGCCGTTGTAGAGTACGTCATGGAAGTAGTACACCATACTCTTGCATGGCTTCCTAGGCCTTTGGGTAATTTTATGAGGGTATTTAAGAGCATTTGAGAGGTTTGCTAGTGAAAAGAGAAAGAAAAAGAGAAGGGAAAGTATTGATGATTTGAGTGCCATTTGCCTTGTTTTTTGAGGAAATGAATGAATTGCAACTACAAGAGTACGTAAAAACTTTTAATTTGTTTGGAAACCATATATTGGCAGGGTTGTATATATAGTACTACTCTAGACTCTAGACAAGCAATCAAGCATGCAACGCTCTTACCAAGCTTTCTGGCACTACTCCGAAAAAGTAATTGTCTAATTTAGGACTACCAGATATCTACGGCATTTGTGATTCTATTTATAATAAGATTTTATGTGAAAGACTTCTTTATACATTACCAAAATATCAATAATGTTAGAGAAAATAATGTTACTCATGTTTATTTATAATTGGTCAGGATTACAGATGATGTGATGGTTTAAATAATTTTTTTCGGTCCCATTAAAAACGATTTTTATTTTCCTTTTGATTAACAATTTTTATTTTCCTTTTGAGGAGTAGCTGGATGATTGGATCACCATTGCAATTGGTAAATTTCTCAAAGTCCATTAACACAGCATATTTTTTGTTTAGAGGACAGATCGAGTTATTAGCACACGAGGGAATAAAATTACACAAAATCCATGAGACATCTTAGAAATAAATTTAACTAGCTAGAACGTCTACACTCTAAACTTCTAAAGTATAATTAGTCTATTGCACCATATTAGCCCATGTATATAAGGGATGATAAGTAATTGGGATCCACTCTTAACAAGAAATTTAAGAAACACTTACTTAGTAGTACTTTAGTATACAAATCTGTGGACTTTTTATATGTTTACCAAATTAGGGACATTTGAGTTAGGTGGAACAAGTCATGTAAATGGACTCTTAATTTAAAAATTTGTAACAAATTTAACGTTCTGTATTCTGATACTGTAATCATATTGTTTTATAAAAGGGGTAGGAAAAAGTCTGTCATGATTTTATTTTGATGGACCGGTAGTACCACTAATAAAGTTATCCACTTGATTAAGCTACCCCATGTTCTATTTTTTTGATGTGCTTATTACTAATCCACCAACGTAACGGTAATTGGGTAGCAAGAATACAACATGTAATTATCCGACATAATGTAACTAGATACCAGCAGCAACGAAACAAATATATGAACCATGAAAATAAAAGGTGGCGTAAAGTTTGCAAATAATTATAACTTGAATTCACATCTTGAGGCCCAGTTGTCAAATCATAGTGGTTACTATTTCACTTCTTTTCCAAGGAAATGAAATTATTAGTTGGGATTTTGGGAGATTGGTAACAAATATATAGGAATTAGCACCATATATACACATTTTTGCAGTAAAATTGATACATGAACAAGAGTAGAAAACTACCCTAAACTAATAGGTAAATATACATTGTACTGTTACATACTCTCCATTTAAGCTCATTTCATCTCCTTAACTAATTTTCACTTATTACATTAGATAAAATAAGGGTTAATAAGATTTAATGACGTTTAAAATAAGCCTTACAAGCTAAGGTCCAATAAAATAGGATAAGATCGTATCAGATAAAGCTAGCTAATAAGTTTCCTATAACATTAAGTTAGAACTGATCGGGCTAGATTCGAGTGAAGGTAACCCTATTTAATTCCACTAATGTACATATACACTCCTAAGTAATGTGACAAAGATAAGGAAATCGTATGAGGTGTAACGTGTAGGATGTGCAGCTATAACCTCCTCATTTTTGTCAATTTTAAGTTAATATTCAATATTATATTAATCAATAAATCGTGAATTGACACTATTACATAATTGACATTAGGTAACACCAAATAGTAACACTTTTAAAGTTATAAATTATTCGACATATAAGTAACATGACTAATTCAAATAAAAGTCCCACTAATTTTCAGACATTCTATCGTCATTTATGTTACGCGAGATAGATTAGTGATGATTAGCCGGGGTACAAATATTTATGAAGTACATAATTATGTACTCAATCAAACAATATCATATGATTATATAGCGTATAGTATTTCATATTCATACACGTCATCCTTACCACAAACTACATACAAGTATATACTTTGTATATATTATGTGTCATGTAGGCGATGTTGCCGATTTTGTTTTATTGCTTGCTTGAATCAACTTTTTATTTCTTTTTTTCTTTTTTTTTTTTCTTTTTTTGGACAATATCCAACTGGCTGAAGGCCCAACCCCTAGCTCGATCTTTTCAACAACATGTATTATTCTCAATAAGGAATATAAAAGGTCTATCTTACCAAATTTGATCTGAAGTTTACAACCACCATATGCTCCCTCATAAGGTGGAACATGAATACATGATGACCATATAGTAGCTATGGGAAAAGGGTTCAATTCTTTTTAAGGGTGGGGATGATTGTGGGTTAGAAGGGGAAAACTTAGTAGCCAAGGAAAAGTAACCCAAATTGCCTTGTGGAATCTGCAAGCTTCATATTTAAGTTGTAGCATTGTTGGAAAAAAAAAAGGTTAAATTCAAAATGATAGTGTAAAAAAATATTAAAATAACAAGTCAAATTAAAGTAGCTTAATCTCACCACAGTTTTGTAACCATTGGAGATGCTTAGAGATGGATATCATGCTAGTTTAAGTATGGTTTGATGCAAACTAGGTTGGAGCATGGTGAGCGGTAACCTAGAAAGACTGAGTTGATTGGTTCATAGGTTAGGTTGAATTGTGCAAAGATTAATTGGTTGAGTGTGATATGATTTGAGTTGGGTTTGGGCATGGGTTAAATGGATTGTTTGTTAGCACCTTAGCCCTAGTGATAGCCAACGGGATACGATTTGATGCAAACTAGGTTGGGGCATGATGAGGGATGAAATAGGACCAGATCAAGTTGGTTCATGAATTGGGTTGTATTGTGCATGGGTTGGTTAGGGGTGAACCAGCTTAAGCTTGGGTCATGACATGAGTTGAATGGGTCATGTATTGGGCTAGGTTGGGTAATTTATAAGTTTAGCATTGTGTTTTTCAATTGTTTGTATAGAAAGCGAGTTTAGGGTGATTCATTGGTTGGTTGGGTTCCTGGGCAAAAAATTTCAGAGGGTGCTTAGTTAATGGAATCTAGATATGAGATATGACTTTAAAATGGTTTAAACCCATGCATTTTGAAACTCTTACTTTATTTAAAAAAAGAACTTTTACTAGTCATACCTTAAACTCTTAAAAACCTAAGTAGAGGTGGGTTTGCCTCATGCCAATATTTTTAGGTATAAAATAAAAGAATAAAACTTCATTTTCAAAATCAAACCAAACATATGAATCAAGTTTGAAATATATACCATTATGATTTCATCATTTCCTAATTCCAATCCAATACCATTATACGAACAAACGCTTCCATGGTCGCGTCGCAGGGGAACATGGACTTAAGGTTTGGGCTTATAATAACAGGCTTCCTATCTAGGAGTAATCGGACCTCCAAAAACTATTTGTAAAAAAAAACGTCAAAAAATTTTCAAACAAAAAGGTGTACACATTGAAAACGTCTCAATCCACTCAAACGCTATCATCAAATGATCACAAAATTTGAAAGCTTTGGATATGGAGCACACACCCACAAAAACTCACTTCCACCCTTATTTACACACAGAAAAACGAAGAGAGAGAAAATCCATTGAAGGAGGATGAGGACGATGATGCTCTCTGCATCTCCTCAACCACTTTCTGGAACCTTCAAACTCAACAATGGCGGAAGTTCATTTAATCATACTTTCAATCCTTTCAACTTGCGTCGCCGAATTCCCTGCTTATTTCAATTTAGGTGTTTTGATCTCTATTTTTATTTTATTTTTACAAATTTAGGTTTTGCTTTCTAATTTGATGAATTACGCTGTTTGATTGATTTGATTGTTCTATTTTGTGAGAATTTTTGTGCTTTTTCTTTGCTAGTTGTAATTTTTGTGTTTAATTTAGGATATGATTATGAACTTAGAATTGTTGGTAGCGTGGTTTTCTGCTTTTGTAGGATGACTTAATAGTGTTAGTACTGGTTGCTTCGATGAAATCAATGAATTGTAGTATGTATAGTTGTTTGCAAGCCGTAATATATTGTTGAATTATTGTTGATTTCTTGTTTTATGTACGAAGAGTCGTGTGCTCGTGTTGTTCATGTGTGAGGTATGACATTAGAAAGTTGCGAGCAATGTGATATTGATTGCCTTGATGAATTATCTTTAGTGAAAAAATCTTGATTAATGAAGGTTAGGTGTAATATTGGGTTGTTTTTGACAAAAATTGGCCAAAAATGATAGGTTAGACGATAATTGTAGCAGTAAATTGTAAGGTAGCTTAATCTAGCTGAAAGTGAGTTGGAAAGGAAGCAAAACATTCGGTGAGATAAGATAAGGCGATAAGGTACTTAGCTGGAAGTTGTATAATATTAGCTGAAATGGAAGGTAAACTGAAGATACATTTACCAGTAGGAATTGACAAGCTAGCTATATGAGGTTTAAAAGCTACATTTACCTCTAAAGCTAAGGAAATTAAGTTGGTTGTATTGCTTACCAAGCACTTCTAATTGGAAGTTAGATTAATTTTAATCAGCTGCATATGTGCTTATTATTGCTTACCAAACAGGGTGTAAAGAATGGTAGCATAAGTAACTTGGCAAGGTCTATAGTACTTCGTATTTTTAAGAGTTGATTAACCTTTTGAATAAGCTATAAGATGAGCATAATGGGTGTTCCATAAACTTTGGGAGTAACTAACGAGTGTGTTATTGTAAGATACTGTAGGACTTAATAGAATATAGGGTGATTTGAGCTGTCTTATGGCATGTTCAAATGTTCCGTGTGTGAAGATATAGTTGCTTTTTTTTTTTTTTTTAATGGGCATTTTTGATAAGGCTTTAGGAAATGTAAAAGTTAATCTTCCTAGTTTCACTCCTCACTGTGTCCCTTATTCCTCTTTTCTACTTAGCAGTCAAATGGACAACACCCTAATCCTGTGCAATGTTAGGTAAGGGGATATTTCCCTGAACTTTAAAAGAAGAAATTTCAATCTTGAAAAGATGAACTACATTTTTAGTGAATATCATCAAATGGATGAACTTTAATTCCCAGTTGCCTTTAGATGGTAATCTGCACGGAATTAGTTACCATCACATAGAAAAAGTCGCAGTGGTTAAAAATAGTATGGTTAGATACCAATTCACTTAGGAAATAAGTAGCAATAGTTAATCTTAGATATGTATGTGCTCCCAAGCAGTCCAGCCATCATATACTGAGAGAAGCCTCTATTGCCAGTGATATTTCAAGGAGGTTCCACCTCAAAATCTTATGAAGCAGACACAACTTTCTAGTTTCTTCAATGTGGGATACACATTCGTTTAACGTGGGATAACACTTCCATTCACATATGGGTTCGTTCATGGGCTCAACAGAGAGTTTAGAGAATATGGAGTGAAATTTGATAGATTTAGATGAAACATGAAGTTCATTTCTGAGTTCCTCCAAGACTGACAGTGACCACTAACTAGATCTTTAGGCTTCTCCTTGTTGTACATTCATTCATACTCTTGAATTTTTTTAGGGGATATGACCTATTTTCCTTATTTTTTTATGCATTAAAGTTCAACTTATTTCTTGCAGAGCTCTAAGCAAGAAGTACAACCCTATGCAGGAAAAGGATTTTCAATTATTTGGACAAAAAGCGCACATATTCAATGAGCCTGTAAATCATCCTATCCTCCTGATCTGTCATGTGTTTATTTTATGAGCTCTTTTGTATTCTAATTGTAAAACAATGATCATCATGCTGTCTCTCTTCACCAGTTTGATTCAATTCTGAAAATGATACAGAAAACTAAAGTTAAAATATACTATGTAGTATTATCTGTTATCATATGTGTAAGTAGTTTATGAGTTGTATGCTCATCTTTGAATCACTCTTTATGATATCTAATGTTTTGTATTGTATAGAAAGTTGCGACACTTCTCTAGTACATGGGTCGTTGATTAAATAATCTGATTCTTCTTTGAACATTAATTGAATTACCACCACACTGCTTATAGTTCCTTGAAGTTCAATTGCCCATTTCACTGTCAGTGCCCCCCCCCCCTTCTGTGAGACCTCTTTGCCTCTTTTGAAAACAATGTAACTTGATGTTTATTTTACTATGATATAATCCTGTCTTGACTGCTTGTGTCAATGTATAATAATGCGACTATCATTGGAATCACTGATGCATGATAGAGGTTTTGTGAAATGCTATTACAGTTTCTGACCTCTCACCTTTATGGTGTCATTCTTATGTAATGTATATGTTTATCTGACCCTATGTCCATGCAAAAGTCTTTTGCAATCAACTTCCCGTGTATATCATGCTGAAACTCCATCCGGATTCACTGTTACCAACACAATATCATAAATGCTACACATTGTCTTATGTTACATGCACTATATGCACATGCAAATATTTCTATGATAAAGCTTTTTGATTAATGTATGATACGTTGCAGGAGTGCAGGCTCAATGAAAATGGGAATCCGCATCAAATTGCCGACTTGTGCGAGGACCAATATGATTTTTGTGCTTCAAATTTATCTACTTCGAATCAGTGCAGAGCAGATGAGATTATTGCTGCGATGGACAATTCAACCTTCGATAAATCAACACGGCAATTGCTAAAGTTTGTTTTTCTCTTTGGGATGCTCACAGTCCAGGGTGCTGAAAACGCAAGTGCTACTTCAAATGTGATGGACAACTTACAGTCAGCAAACTTCTTTGGGGACCTTAGTGACATTAGCACAGGTTTCGCTTCAGTTAGGAAAATCTCCCTGCAACTATTGCAATGTGCATTCATACTAAGCTCATGTTAAACTAGACTATCTTCTGAAATACGAAGTAATACTTAGTGTGAGGTATATCTGGACACAAAGCGTGACTCTCTGCAAAACCTTCAATGTTACTGCGACAGCCCTTAAATACTCTTTATGTGGACTACTTAGTAGTTAATCAGTTATGCCCCTCCTCTTTACACCCTTTTACAAGAAGCAAAACTACGAAAGATGATATAAAGTTAGGTTTATTTATTTTTTGTCGCTTGCCATTCTCATTCTTGACATTATGAAAGATATTATGCTGTATATTTTCTTCCTTATATGTGTTACTCATGGTTTCCTCTCCATTTCATAGCTCCTTCTAGTACATAGATCTATTTCATTTCCGATGCTGTATTTTAGTAACTTGGCTGATATATGTTCTTCTGCAGGCATTCTTGCTGATCTTCTTTTCTGAACTTGGGGACAAGACCTTCTTTATTGCAGTAAGCACTAACGAACTTGTCAAAGCCTTATTGGTCATGTTGACTTTGACTGATAGCCTTTTCTTTATTTTTCTACATTTACTGTTTATCTCATGTAGTGACTCAATCCTGTGATTTCAGCGGAATACACTCTAATTTTTAAATAGTACAGAGTATAATAAGCTATCAAGTGTGAACATTTCATAAGGGCATGCATTTCTGAGAATTGATTGCACTGAATTTGCCTCCCTACAAATTTTTCTTCTTTACAATTATATCTAATAAATTTTGCTGTTCCTGATACGTATTGTTCATTCCTGTCCAGGCATTATTAGCTGCCAGAAATTCTGCTGCAGTTGTTTTCGCAGGCACTTTTGGTGCACTTGGGTATGTTATCTCTTCCCATTCATGTTGCTAAGATGCTCTTTGCTTTCATGTAGTTAGTTCTGCATGTACTCATAACTCTTGGACCTTATAGATGAATGCATGTGAATAGTTTAATTTAGATTCATACTGCATTCTTTTTTATTTTGTAAGCTTCATTATACAATGCCAGAACAACTGAACAAGTATGCCAAAAAGAAGTAGAATTTTTTTTTTTACTTTGTTCATGAAGAGTTGTATGATTTGAACTGTTGAAGTTTCTTCTTTTTTAATGGGCTCTAATTTACAGTGATATCTATGATCTTAACAGGATCATGACTATAATATCAGTGCTACTGGGTAGGACTTTTCACTATATTGATGGTGTCCTTCCATTCAGGTAATGTTGGTGCATTATGATATAAATTAGCCATGAATATATTTCAAAAATTATTTTGAGGTGAATACTGAAGTATACACGCTTAGTTTACTGTTTTGAGAATTCTATAACTATGATCAGACCTTAATATAATCAACCATGTCTTTGCTGAATACACAACACAATCTGTAATTATGTAAACGCTAGGAATTTAAGGGCATATCTTATCAAAAACCAAATGCTCCTGTCATCAAGTTAAAGGTTTTGGGAAAATGTCATCATCCATTTGCAATTTTAAGGATTATACAACATTACAACTAGTTTTCATGATTGGTATTGAGTATTGACGCATGGATGATACGTAGTTCTGAGTTTTGTTTAGGGAAATTAAAAAACTCATGTGTCATACTAATCATTTCATTCATTCTCCCTCACAATTGATCAATAATTTTGCAGTTTTGCTGGTAGTGATTTGCCTATTGATGATATTGCTGCAGTCTGTCTCCTTGTAAGTTTTCTAATATTTGTGTCTTGAAAATAGGGCTATGTGTTGCGTTTACAGAATCTGTTGATGGATGGTGAGTGGTGGAGGATGAAGCGTTTTTTTATAATTATTGTTAATGTTTCAGGTGTATTTTGGGGTCACGACACTGATTGATGCCAGTTCAAGTGACAGTCAAAAGGCTGAAGATGAACAGAAAGAGGTACTTAATTAGTTATATGCTTGAGGTAACAGCCAAAAAATTCTTATCTTTGAAGTTAGAATTATTTGGGATTTACATGAATGTAATGTTAGTTGATCGTGTGGCTTGTTTGATATGCCTTCATATAGAGATCAGGTGATAAGATGAGTTTAGGAATTAGGAGTCTTTATCAATTTTTTAAAATTCGATATGACATTGTAGGGGGTGAAAATAGGTGGTGACTATTACATACCAAGTATTGACAACTCTTTATTCTTCATATGTTGCTCTGAAAATTTTTAGCTGGCTTACTATATGTAGAAAATAGGTGCTACAATGGTCCTTTTGTGCAAATATTTATAGGGTATATTATATGTTTCTATTGTTGATTCTTTTACATGTTTCTAGTTGATGCTATCTTAAACACGGAATTTAGCTTCCTTTGGCATCTTTGTCGATGCTGCTAACCATTTTTCTTCTTTTCTATCCTGTCTCTTTTGTTTAACTTTATGGCCTTTGTTGGTCTTCTTATTTTCTTGCTCAGCTATCTCTCTTCTTTATGGGAAAGAAACATAATGCTAAAGAACAGAATATGTGTTGCCTTTTGAACCAGGCTGAGCTGGCAGTGTCTGAGTTTTCTGGAAATGGTGCTGGGATCTTAGCAGCTGCAGGCACAATTGTTAGTACATTTGCATTGGTTTTTGTTGCTGAATGGGGTGACAAATCATTCTTCTCGACAATAGGTGAGTTGACTGTCTAGTCTAATTTTAGCCCGAAACTAGCAGACAATTTACTGTTTAGAAGATTGTATGCGTTTAAATGTTCATCTCTGTTGAGTGTGTTGACACACTACATCAAAATTAACATTGCCCCACTAGTGGATGTCAGTTTTGAGAATCCTTAGTGTTGTACCCTGATGAGGCTGCTGTTCACCCTTTTCCTGATGCATAATAACAATCGGCTACTTCATTCATAGCTCTTATAAAGTATTTTGCATCATTTTGCATGATTTATAGTCTACTTTATTTTTGAATTTTTTTTCTTCCTTTTTTTCATATGAAATAGTTCTTATTTATAGGAAATTCATGAACACACTCCAGCACTTGCTTTTGATTTTTGACTTTTTATTATACTTGTACAGCACTTGCTGCAGCCTCATCGCCACTTGGAGTCATTGGTGGAGCTCTTGCTGGTCATGGAGTAGCAACCTTGGTAATATATTCAAAGTTACATATACTTCATATTAATTAACAATTTTAACAGGTTGTGAAGTTTATTTTCTCGACTTCAAGTCTCTCTCACATACTTAATAAGTCATCTAAATGCAGCTTGCTGTAGCAGGGGGATCCTTGCTGGGTAATTTCTTATCTGAAAAGGTAAGCTTTCATCCATTTCTGAAATATTAATAACCCCCCCGCCGCCCAACACACACACTGCCACCTCCAAAATAAAAGACTAATCTTTCATAGACGGTCACATGAACTCAGTAACCACCCCCCCCCCCCAACACACACACTGCCACCTCCAAAATAAAAGACTAGTCTTTCATAGACAATCACATGAACACAGTAAAAAAAAATCTTCTAAGCTGTCTCCAATTGAGCTCATCACTGTCATTTACCCTTTGATTCTACAAGTTTTTGTTTTAATGCTTCACACTGAATGCTAGTTGAAATTTAATTTGTAGGTAATCTCATACGTTGGAGGTGTTCTATTTCTCGTTTTTGCCAGCATAACATTGATCGAGATAATTCATGGTTAGACACTTCTGTTTGTATATTGGGATGGACAATGATCCTGTGTTGCCAATTTGTAGAAAAGCAATGTGGGTTCTTTCTAACTGATTATGTTCATCTCAATGTCATTTCCTCATTCTTTTTTTATTCATTGATCTCCATCACTTGTACTCTAATCTTGTTCTTTAAGATTCGTTCTGCCCGATGTCTCCATTTTTCCACTTCTGTTTTTGTAGTTTTTCTCGCTTTCTCACTCATTGTCATATACGCATATATTCAGATTGCTTTGCTGATCCATTGAAAATGTCCCGTCCATAATTAGGGTTGCATCATGCATGCACTTAATTATTACTCCTTAGAAAGGGAATTATAATAAATAATCTAGGACCGCTTAGTTTGTCAAAAATATCGCCTTGTATAATTTAATAGACACCGTAAACATAGATCCTGTGAAGTCAGGTAATCTCATGTGTTGTAAGATAATTACGTGTTGTTTTAGACTATGTTTAGTCAGTCGAATTGTGCACTTTAGATGTCATTGATTGAAAATGACATGCATTGAAGTTACAAGGAAGATGTCAAGACTCAAGATTGCACTTAAAGCCAAATTAAAGCAAAAAATAAGATTAATAATAGGGGACCATAAACCAATTGATATTTTCTGTGCTATATTTGTTACGTGGACACCTGGTAGTACTTGGGTTTGGTTAGACTCAAGTCACTCAACACCACAAATTTGTGCATACAATCCTATATTTGACAAACATAAATCTTCCTCCGTTTGTTCCATGACTAAGCGTCAAAAATTTAGCACATATACTTCCTCCGCTTCAAAACTATTTGTTTTGGCTTTACATGGTGTTTTATGTGGTACTTTGACCATAAATATGTTCGATGATGTATTACAGTAGGAAAAGTTATGAAAAATTTAGACTTTAAAACTGCACATTGAAACAAATTTAAGATTTTGATGGGTTATTTTATATTATTATATATGTAGCTGTGAACACATGGTTAGAGCAATAGAGCTATATCATGGAACCTTAAAGCTTATACTAGTAATAAGATGTTGCAATTATTGTGGAATTGATGAAATACTTTATCAATATGTCCGAAATAAGTTGATGCTTTTGAAATGATTTTGGTTTGTGCTTGTTTTTACAATTGTACTATTGCGAAGATTAACTAATATCTAACGGGGGAGAATTTGGAACAACCATTATTTTAAGGGAATTGTATATTTTAGTAGTAAAAAAAGGTGTAATTAATTTAGTACTCCGTACTATGTACTGCAAGTCTACACACTGTATTGTGTATTCTTTAGTTAGCTCATAGTCTGGAATGCAATAACAACTTAGTTGAGTGAGCATTAATAGAAAGTAAATATAATTATGAATTCACTATATACTACTTTAAGAAAGCTGGGAAATAAAGGCAAATGAGCACCAAACACCTTGGGGGAATTGATGAAAGAATAATAAGTTGGTCGTTGGAAATATAAGGAAACTGAAGACAATGATCTTGCAAAAGAATAAAGTTCACTCAAGTGGTCTGAAGAGAGTGAGGTTTTTGCTCAACCATCCAAATTTTTCTCTTTTCTTTAATGTCCATTCTAAGTTATCCTAGGGATTTGTGAGATTGGAGATTGCTTAATTTTGTTTTGGGCATTTAGACTTAATATATGTCGAATAATTATACGAAGCATTGATGTTTCTACTTTTATCGTCTTATATACATTTATATTCGATTTGTTGATAGAGAATATGCATTAAGTATTCGTTCTCTTAGATATTTTTTCCTTTGTTAGTAAACTTTTGATGTGTTGATAGAGAATATAAGTAAAATATTAGTTCTCTTTTTTTTCCATCTATTAGTAACCCTCAGAAAATTGGAGTTTTTTTTTTTTTTTTTTTTTTTTGTTCAAGGAAAGTTCTCATTGTAAATGGAGAGTACTTTCATAAATGCATATAAAATAAAATAAAAAATTAAAAAAAAAATCCAAAAAATGTAGCTAAAAAAAAAAAAAATTGTAGAACTAGGGTTAGGTAGTTACAGCCATGTCAGTGATTACTTCTTCACTTCTGTAATGGACCTTATTAAAGAAAAAAATTGTTATATGAAACAAAAAATATATTAATCATGAAGATTATAAAATAATGCAATTTGATTAATTTTATGATGCTTGTCTTTTTATGAGTTTTTTCTTTCTTTTTCCTTGAACTTTTCTAAGCTTATTTAAGATTTGGAAAGGAGATGTTGACTCGGCAATTCTCCTGATCACTTTCAACTAATTAAGAGCTAGACGAGTATTATACGAATTAATTATATTTCATAATTTTTCAGGATGAAAGTAGCAGTAATTACAATAATTACCAAGTACTCGTAGCTTGATACTCCATTTTTTATTTTTCTGTACATTGTTTTTTTTTATTTTTAAATATTCCATTTATTAAAAAATAACTTAAGAATAAAGATGTAAGTGACTTTTAGAAGATGTTAGATGGTGAGATAATGGCTTGAACACTAGAGGTGTCAAAATCGAACCGAACCGAACAAAACCATCTGTTTCGAACTGTAATCGATCCGATTTGATTCGAGAAACTCAACACCCAAACCCGATCTGTAACCGAACTAAACTCAACCTGAATCCAAATTTGACCCAATTTGAACTTAACTCGGCACCGATTTGACCCGACTTGAACTCAACCCGAAACCGATTTCACCCGAATTAAACTCAATTCGAACCGGTCTGACCCGACCTGAAATCAATCCGAACCGAATTGACCCGACAAACACCGATTCAATCCAATTTGTTTTTTATCCGAATTGATATTAATGTAACACCCTAGAAATTTATTTCCTTTAAAATACCTATTTTGCTCTTTTTAAAATACGAAATAGGAAAATCTAAAACATTATCCCCACCGTGAAAACAGCTAAGGCAAATATCAAAGACACACAGCGAAAGACTATCTTTTAAACTATCCAAAACAAGTCAACTTAAAAGTCAAACCAAAAGAAAGTAAAGTCAACCTACAGCCTGAAACCATTATAGGCCCTTAAAACCAAGAAATACTGAAAACCTTTACGTTAGTCTCATGAGCATAATAAAATAAATAATATTCAAAGCAAATAAAACACATCATATTCCTATGAAAACTAAACATGATTCGCTCTTTAATCATACCCATCACGAAAATGCTTCATCACCTGAAAAACTTTTCTCTACCTGTCCCCACTACTCGCCATTAGAAATGGGTCGTCGTAGGGCCAAGGTAAAAACAAGACCAAACAAACATACAACACATAATCAGCAATGCTGAATACATAAGCGTAACTAAAACACACTAACATGCTTTTATCCTATCTTCACACAACTTACCTTGTTGCACCTGTAAACAACCATACAAAACATCCAACACTTAACTAGACAAATATTAATGTCCATTTAATTTGATTACGCATCGAACAGGTTTCCCCCTAACCTGCCCCAATACAGGGTACTAACACGAAAGCTAACCGTGCCAGTATAAAAGAACCACTTGTAAGTGGCAGAATTCTTGCGCATAATAAAAAGGAAAATATACGGCGTCCTGTACTCCCACTAGAAGTTATGGTCAAATATAAAGTCGCATAACTCCCTCCATATATGTTCATACTCAAGGTATATACGTTCCAAGAGTTTTGGTGCGTAATCTCTTTCACTTTAAGTTGCTTTACATATTATTATACTTGGTGATGACTCTCAAACCATAACACAATCAAACATTATAATTCATTCAAACAATCAAACATACCAATTTAATTCTTGAATAATTAGTGACCACATAAATTTAATGTTGAATCCTTATTAAACTACCTCGGTGTTAAATAACACCTTAAGCGCATAAAGCACCACAAAACCTATCCTTTGGTGTTTAGAACGCCTTAAGTGCACTTAGGCACTAAAATATAATTTAATCCTCGTGTACATACACACTTAAATAGCTCCTTCCTCATGCTTATAGCATCAATAAAAATTATATGAACCACAATAAAATTCCTTTTCATATTCCAAACTCAATTAAATATTTAGTTTAATTAAACATGTTCTCTATCATGCCAATAATAAAAGTGTGGTTCATAATCAACATGCCAACATAATTAATTTCAATCACCAATTCATCATAAATAATTCATACATCACAAATCATTTACCAACATCAATCCAATCAACAAATTCCAACCAACACCTATCATGATACTACTTGGAATTAATTTATCAAAGCCTAACATGCTTCTACATATCAAATAATTACCAAGTACGCGAACGTACCTTGAATATGATCTCAAAATCGCCACGACTAAATAAAATCACTCACTTGGAAACCTCCTACAAACCAAAAATCTATTCCACACAAATTTCAAGCTACATATACACTCTTTAAATCACTCATAAACCCGTAAAAACAAGCTAAAATTTAATTTAAAACCCTTACTTTTCTTCCCAATTAATGGGTAATTAAAAATCCTTTCAAGAAGCATATTTATAACTTATATGTAAAAATTCCAGCTTTATTAAATCATCTAAAATTGCTCTAATTGTATTTTAAAACACTTATTTTTAATAATTTAAATCACCCATAAACAATTTCCATCAATATTCATAAACTTAGAAACCTAAGGTTTATAATTTAGGGCTTTTTAATTCAAAACCAAATCTGAAAATTTATATACAAAATACTTATTATCAAACATTATAAAAATCATCGCAAAACCCAAAAACAATAATTAGATTAAGGGTGGATTGAATTAAAAATCAAAAAAGAAGAATTTTTTTTTTCAAAGTTGTGTGCACAGCACCACCGAGGCAAGGCTGCTGCCGCGCCTGCCGGTCGATGCTGCTGCTGCGGCGCTCGCTGGTGGTGGCAGCCGGATGGTTGTGGTGTGGTGTGTGTGTGGGTGGTGATTGAAACAAAAATAAAATAAAATTAAAGGGGAAGGGGAAAAATTAAGGGGAAAAGAAATAAAAGGAGAGAGAGAGTTTACCTTTGGGTATTCTCCACCTTGAGCAAAGTTTGATTTTGCTCATATGATAGGTATTTATACCCTCTCTCAATAACCCTTCTATTTAAAATTCTTTTACTACCCTTAATAATCCATTTCCTATTCAAACTAGTATCTTGACTTTCCTTAAATACCACTGACCTTAAAAATTACTTTTTTATAAAATAATATGCCC